GTCAGTTGCCAATACGCTATAAAGCTAATAGTGGACTCTTTAAACACAATTTGTCATGGAACAGGTCCTTAGAATTTTACTATAATCCGTGAGTCTACATTTTGTGGAGGTATTTAAATATTAATTCATTATTGTAAGTGGTCAATACAATAAATCTTTAAACATAAATGAAAAATTGTTAGAAAAAAATAACTACTACTTATCTAAAATAAGATTACGAGGTATGAGAATGTCCTAATCTGCACCTGTATTTTGAAGAATACATCTAACTAGCTTTGTTAGAACAGCATTGTGTTTAAATGCATCGCCATAACGCCAGACCAGTCAGGTGCAAATCTCCCCATTCCCACAAAAACAACTTGAACTTGACAAATCACTGAACTTTCTCTGCCTCGGTGCTCCTTATCTTTTCCATGAAAATACTAACACTGACTCTCATCAATTTATGAAGAATACAGGATGGACTACATACACGTCCTTTATAGCAATGATCTAGATTGTGTAAAAAGCTCTTTTAAGTGTTACAAATTCAGCCCTTGGAAACTTGTTTAAAGCAAATATTGTAAAGAATTGTTTCCAAAGCAGAACTACAGGATGTAGAGAACATTGGATTTTAGCCAACATGATGCATGTATCTCACGCCTCGTGTTCCCATGCAGGAATCTGGCTCAGAAGAATCTCACTCTCTGGGATTTTACAGAATGACCACCAGGGATTCGGTGTTGGGAATGAGCTTTTTATTGAAAACTATAGTTGGAATTCTGGGGAATTTCTGTTTTTTTTTAATCATTATCTCTTCCTTTATCTGACAGGATACAAGCTTAGGTCCACAGATTTGATTCTCAAACACCTGACTGTAGCCAAACTCTTAGTTATTTTTTCTAAAGGAATTCCTCAGACAATGGCCGCTTTTGGGTTGAAACATTCCCTTGATGATTTTGGATGCAAACTTGTTTTCTATGTTCACAGAGTGGGCAGGAATGTGGCCGTTGGAACCACCTGCCTCTTGAGTGTCTTCCAGGTGATCGTGATCAGTCCTGGGGACTCCAGGTGGGCGGGGCTTCAAATAAAAGCTCCCAAGTACCTGGGCATCACCAACATCCTCTGCAGGATCTTGACTATAATGCAAAGTATTTTGGTTCCTTTTCATGTGACTGACAAAAGGAATAGCACAAACATCATAAGGAAAGCAGATCATGACTACTGTAATGCAGTATATTACAGCAAAATCACAGAGTCACTCTATGTGCCATTCCTATTATTCCATGATGGTTTCTGCTTGGAGCTCATGGGCTGGTCCAGGTTTTCATCCTGCAAAGGCACAGGCAGTGAGTCCAATACATTCATAGAACACTGTCTCCCCGAGATCCTCCCCTGAGACCACAGCCACCCAAAGCATCTTTGTCCTGGTATGCTTCTTTCTTTTTTATGGACACTGTCCTCTATCTTCCATGTTTGTCGGTTATTAACAACCCCCGTCTGTGGCTGAGGAATGCTTTTACACTACTCGCTGCATATTTTCCTACTGTCAGTCCCTACATTCTCATGAGCCATGACCCCAGAATGTCCACCCTCTGTGCTGCCTGGATAAGGAAACAAAATCCCCTAAACTTTTAATGAATATGTAAGTTATATGCATATTCACAATGGTTGTTTATTTATTAGCCCCTTTCAATGTAAAAGCACATTTATAAAATATCTACATTACAAGAGAGGGATAAACAAGACAAACTGAGCTCCTGCTACTAAATAAACAACATCAATAGCATTTATAAATGAAATGTGGTGTATTCATCAGGTTAATGTATAGTAGTCCTCCTTACCCAAAGTCTCACTCTCTGCAGTGAGTTCCCTGAAGTCAACTGCAGCCCATGAGCAGACAATCCTTCCTTCTGATTTATTGTCAGAAGGTCAATAGCAGCGGAGTGCTCAATCACAAGCCTACCATATTCATCACACTTCATCTCATCACATAGGCATTTTTATCATCTCACATCATCATCATCAGAAGGGTGAGTACAACACAATAAGATATTTTGAGAGAGGGAGAGAGAGGGACCACATTCACACTTTTATTACAGTATATTGTTCTAATTATTTATTTTATTATTACTTATTGTTGTTAATCTCTTACCATGCCTGATTCATAAGTTAAACTTTATCATACATATGTATATATGGAAAAAACAAAGTATGTATAGGGTTCAGTACTATCTGCAGTTTCAAGCATCCACTGGGGGTCTTGTAACGTATCTCCTGTGGCTAAGGGGAAACAATTATATATTTATATGTTGTCAGATTAATATTTTTCCATCAAATAATATTGGATAATTGCACATTCAGGAACATTAAAATAATTCTTATTCAAATAATTGCAAACTGCTTTTTCTTTAAATTCTTTTTTATCTGATATTTATCTCACCATGCTGTTAGGAGTTAATTGGACACTTAGGACCAGGGTCCCCAACAAGAAAACAGGGGGCCAGGACAACTAAGACAAAACCGTACTGGCATCCTGTTTGACAGCTTAAACAAGACCAGGAAAGCATCCTGTTGAGCAGCCTCTGCAGAAGTAACTTTTGCAAAACATCCCGAAACAAAACAATTAACCGTAAAACATTGATCACTATCACAAAGTCGAGGCAGTTAGTCACCATATGTCAGCCCAAAAGACCATCAACACATGAACAATAACCCAATAGGTAGACAGGGGCATGATCAGAGTCCTCACTGGCACACCTTAGTGGCCAATCCACAGGGGCCCACTCTCAGGATGCTCAAGATAGTTCTGCAAAAGAGCTTACAAAAACCCCTAGATTTGAATGCCAAAACGGCAACCCTCTCAGGTCCCCTCCCTCTCTGGGAGCTTCGTACTATGGCTCAATAAACTTTGCCTTGCTGCCCACCAGTCTTTAGCTGGTCTACCTCTTAATTCTTCAAAGTGGCTTGACCAAGAACCGCGGGTTCTAAGGCAATAAAAATCCTGTAACACTAATTAATTTGGAAGTGGAGGTGATATGGAAATTTTTTAGCAACACAATTTATGAATATTGACCTTTCCCAAACTCCAGTAGGGATAAAAAGTCTAAACAGAATATCCATGAAAGAAATGGAAAAGTGTCTCTTACAAATAAAAGCCCTGGAATCAGAGGGTTAAATGGACATTCTAGAAGCCTGGGATAAGCAATGCTGCTTACTCATTTAAATAGCATTGGGTGGTTACCACATTTTCCACACCTACTTTTTGCTGAATGTGCAGTAATCACCTGTGATTGCTTTTGTAATTAAGAAACATAAAAGGAGTTCAAATTAATTGTTTTTCCCTAAAAAGTAAATACACAATTTGATGTCCACTATCAAGTACTCCTCATATCCTAGTCAGAGACTAGAGGTATAAGGGTAGATAACCCTTATTGAACACACATGCAAACATTTGCACATAAACAACACATGTGTATACACAACATATATTCAGATACAATCATATACGCTCACATCTCACACACTCTCAAGTATTCCTCCGTAACTCCCACTGAATACACCCACCCTGACCACACCCACCACCATTCACATTCGTAAAACCACATTCATGCAATCAAGGTGCAATTGTGTATCTTGATAGTATGGGCATAAATGGGAAAGGAGGGTGTATTATAAGGTATTTGCTCATGAGACTAATGGAGGCTGAGAAATCCCAAAACCTGTAGTTTGTAATCCAGAGACGCCACCTGTCCGAGTCTGAATGCAAGAGAAAACCTATGTCCTGGCTCAAAGACAGGCAGAGAGGACAAATTTTCCTTTACTCAACATCTTTGTTCTATTCGGGACTTCAAGGAATTGGAGGAGGCCAACCCACACTGGGGAAGGCAATCTGCTTTAGTCTACTGATTCAAATGTTAATCTCATCCACAAACACCCTCAGAGTCACACACAGAATGATGTTTAACTAAGTATGGGGGCACCCCATGCCCCAGGCAGGCTGACCAATAAAATTGACCATCACATCATTTAACGACAGCTGTCTTGCCACTCAGAGAGAGAGCCATGTGGTGATGGGGTGGAGTGGGGAGAGAGGAGGCTGGGTCTGACAACTTCCTGGAATACCTGTCACATCTGAACGGCAACCTCTAGGCATCCTATTACATGAGATGATAAACCTTCCTCTTGTTTTAGTCATCACTGCCCAGGTGTTCTTTCCTCCTCAAACCTCCATCACTGTCCAGGTGCTCTTTCCTCCTCAAACCTCCATCACTGTCCA